TTTCAATACCTCAAAGTCATTGTACGCTTCGTTAAATCTCGGTTACCGGGCTCATGTAAACAGCCCCTATTAAGACCAAGTTATCAATAAGATAAGATCAATTTCTTTTATGCCAATGTAGGATATCTACAATACATTTGTTACATTGTATACATATGTATACAATTATTTGCAGATGATTTTTCATCAGATCAGATCGTTTTCATTGATCTGTACGCAAACTACAGAGAAGTATTGTTTGAAGGAGTTCTAAAAAGTAATTTTGAGCAAAGATCTACCAGTGCAATAGAAAATTTTAATTTTAGTGGATTATTCTGCCATACACCAGTTCAGCCACCGCTAGTGTAAACAAGATATTCATTTTTTCATTCACGAATACAGGGTGAATAAAAAACCCCCAACCACTCTAATTTTTCATGAATATTCACTTCTTTTCATTAAAAAAGTTCCAAGGCCTCAATAGGGAACAAACCTCGTAGGGAACAAATCGGAACAATTATATCAGTTTTTATACACCCTGTATACATAACTAACAATAAATAGCCTTGTTTCATTGTTTTATTGTTTTACTTAACAAAGAATTTTGCATTGTACTCACCTGGAGAATGCTCTGTTAAGGAAACAGGTGACCAAAGTCAGTCTTTTCGACACCAACTCCCTCCAAAAACCTTGAATTGACTGGGGTTTTTTTCATATAACCTGGTCAGTATAAATTCCAGCCGGTTGAAGAAAGCCTACACCCTCAGTTACAAGAAAAAACTCTAAGAACGGCTCTGAGACTGATTCCTAAACGATCGCCAACAGTGGAAACGCCATGCAGGTTAGAATTAATGGGGGGCATTAAAAAGTTTAAAGAAATATTTTGAGGGGGCTCATTATAAGCGAAACGAACATCGAATAAAATTTTAAACTGCTTATGTAACATGAAAAGATCTGGGGAGCAACCCCCCCCCCCTCTCTAGCGTTGCCACTGTCAGATTTGTACCCTCACGATGTTAAAAAATTGTAATGCCTGACCCATCAAAAGCCCGGTCCCAGATGATATTCTAATTGAATTTTTAGGCATCTTTAAATTCCTGCACCGGCCCACTATAACGCACCAGGGGCGTGGCAAGTGAGTAAGAAGGATTGTGGGGGTGTCATGTGATTTTTACCAACTTTTATAATGAGTCCGTGTTAACCAATTTTATAATGAATCCCATTTTGGAATCCGGGTACGGGGGACAGTTTTTAACAAGCTGACTTACCATACTGATATACTCCATTTTTATTTTTGGAGGATAGCCTTATAACATTGTTTTATCTAAATACCATCTCGAAACTGCCATTATATATTTATTGGCAAGAAAATCGTTTACATTTCAATCTTCCAAATCTTCAGAAACGGCCATTTTGGGCTGGAATAACATTCAATATTAAAAAATAATCAGTGCAACAACACATTTTACTCTAATTCTGTGCTGTATTTTTTAACAATAACAAAGCATTTTGAATAATTTTTGACATTGCAAGGTATTGTCTATTAACCTGTGTCACACGACAGAACCAGGGTACAAGGTTGTCACAACCCAACCCCCGCCCCACCCACACACCAATCACGGTGGCTACGCCCCAGTACTCGGCTTGTATCTAATCTATTGAAATTTTCCTTCGATTATCTGCTACAGAAGTCAGAAGCTCTGATTTCCTCACGAGTAAGTAGACAACATTGAGTAAAAACTAGAAATAGATTTATACCAATTTCGATATTGCCAAGAGAACCAAACTAGTACCTTGGTTTCTAACCTGATGACAAATGACCACCAATGACCAACTTTCCTTCGATCCATGAGCGATTTATTTGTTTTAAATTATGACCTTCCACTAGTGGCCAAAATCTCGTGGTATGTGGGCACTGGGCACTGGGCAGCCCGCGATTATATAGTAAATAGAGAAAATGGGAAATGATGTTTTGCAAGAGTGGAAACACTGGTTAAAAATTTGAAATTACGCAATGGAAACAAGACCACATGGATTACATGGAGGGTCATCGTTTATATATTGTTTTGGTTAAAATGGTATTAACAATCGTTTCAAGATAATAAAATAGGTACAGTATATATGAAAAGTAAAGTGTAGTATAAAGGTAGAATAGGATTGGATTTTGCACTTCGTTTTATGTTGACGATGTTCAAAGAAAACAACATTTAATTTAAAGGCAAAATGGTTGGATCTGGACAGTTGAGCTAGTAAATACATGTCATAGGTGTCTATAATTAGATGGCAGCTTCTTGTAAAATAAAAAGAGGTTTAACATTTTGAATATCTATTTGACAGAACATTTATGATTTATGTCAGGGGGGGGTGCATATTTCACTGTTTGGAGTCCAAAATACTTTGCTGTATAAACTGTAACTTTGATGAGATCATATTGTCCACACATTTATTTTGTGTTCGCTTTACACTTCCAAAATTTGAAGGTGTCTGTCTATGCAAATATGAAATACTCATACCAAGCTGATGCAAAATATTCTGTGAATGATTCTGTGGCATTAACAATGGACAATTTTGCTCTGCTGACCTTGCAGAAAGCAGCCAAAAAATTATTGTCTGAACAGTGATGTGCAAATTACATTTGGTTTTTAACCACCACAGGTACTCAATGAGCTACTGCTATTGAACTGATAAAGATCAGTCGCAATCTGGATTTACGTACCTAAAGCTTTGCAATAATAAAAAATTTTTTATATTGTGATATCACAATGCAAAATTACAAGAATATTAGTTGTATGAAATTGTAATATCAATAGTATAATACCTTTTGTTATTCCTAAAAAATGTGACAAAGGAAGCTCCTGCATTCACAAAACTGGCCTATTGGTAGTTTTTGTGGAACAAGCATAAATAAAAATGGCAATTTAGCAAAGCAGGCTTACCTGGCTTTATGAGTTATGAGGCCTTAATGAATTATGATTGCCTAAATTTAAGAAAAAATTGTGGAAATTTAATTTAGAAGATGAAAGTCAATTGGTTTTTGTTAATTATAATATTTGTTGAGTCAACTAAAGCTAGAGCATGAAACTTCATATTCAGTTAAAAGATTGTGATTTTGTTTACAAATTACACATGTTAGACATCTACATGTAAACCCATAATCTATACAAAGACTCTGTAGCCTGACAGCTAGGTGACTTTGTGACAGGTTTTTAAAGACTGTTAAAAATCAAACAATTTAATGAAAGTGTTGATCTAATGTGAAGATAATTCATGAAAAATATATGATAAAATGCCTGTCTAGCAAATCTTTCATAAAAACACCTTTTACTGAAAGGCATGTTGCAAACAGCTGAATTTGGTATATGAAATTGTTAATTTTTTATTTAACTTAAGGTGGCTCGATACAGTTTCCAAAAATTCCATTGTTCATCACTTTGACTCGTTCAAACAACGCATTTTTATGATTTATTCCAGAGATATTGGGGTTTTTATATATTTTGATGTCTCTACTTTTGAATCGTATTGGTTTTAGTAACAAATCGTCCGTTGCTATGGCGACATATACGTGTACAAAATTCACTCCAAAATGACCAATTGCCTCGGATAGTTGGAAAAGAAGAAAGGTGACCCCCAATTTTTTTTCTTGCATTATTTTACTTGGGAGAAAAACTAACAATTAGCAATATATAAAATTCTATTATGCCACATTTTCGAAAAATGCATTTTTTTTGCCATTATAGAATTTTTGTATTTTTGGTATTATGAGAGACACGTGTAGTACAATTCAGCATGCACAATTTCAGCATAGGTCACCGTACGAAATAACGAGATATAGCGCGCTTTTTTGGCCCAAAATGGAATTTTTTAATGACGTGGGGTGAAAAACACGCGCGGTGTCCAAAACACGCATCACGTGAAACAAACACGCGTCGCGCGTGCTGTTCTGATTATTTTGATTCTGATAGCAGCATTTATGTTTATGTTTCTCGCTAGTTTTGGCAGTGCGTTCGAAAATATACTAGAAATAGGAATTCGCAGCATTTAGCGCCCGTGATAGGTCAATCTGCTACGTGATTGGTCAATTTTTCCCGCCAAATGGCATGACGTTGCAGATGCTGATGCGACCGAACCGGAATAAGAGAAAGTCCAACCAAAACTCTGCTAATTTATCAAATACTCTTTCTTATTGCACGGCTAAAAACTCAGAGCCTGTGGTTTATCAACATTGCATGGAACAATGTTGTGCTTTCAATATTGTTCACACTTGTCAACAACATTGAACAATATCGTTGAAAATGAAGAATCGAGTGTAACTGCAATATTGCACTGACGAAGTCCCCAGTTAACGGACCGAAAGCTTTGCAGTAGAGAGGTTAAGATACCCCGGTTCCGGTGTACAGGTACGGGTAGCCTTATTTTGTTTAATGACAATGAATGTCCATCAGTGTTTCTCAATTTTTTCGAAGATTAACTCGACAATTATTTTCTAGTAGACTTTAGCCTCTTGAGGTAAGCACTATTTGTATCTTTAAACGTGCAAACAACAAGAAATTCCAATTAACAAAATATGGCTACCCGTACCCGTATATCGAAACCGGGGTATCTTAACCTCTCTAGTTATAAATACTTACGTGGAGCACCCACAAGCTAAGTTAGCTACTTATTGATGTCACCATACAAACATACCAAGTACAAGCAGCGGGCAGCACAACATCGTTCCATCCTGTTCATCTCAATATTGCATCAACCTTAATCTTATAATTGTCAATGTAAATCATGCGTACGTCATGTTATTTACACATAATGAAACTTGACTCAAATATTCAAATACTGCATTGTGTGAACTACAGTCATGTTTCATTGTCCATGTTATCTTTTAATTGATGAACCAGCCTATTAAATTACATTTGTTATTTGTATTTGATATAGAGTGATGGAAAATCCGATACTTTATTCCGAACAACGAAGAAACAAATTGTGTTCATTGCATGAGGTGAAATTGGTTCAATCTAGAAACGGATACGTTTCTAAGCGATCATTTTAATATGGATCCTGAGACAGCAACAAACCTCCAGAGTCCCTACGAGGAACAGCCTGAACAAAATATGGAAATTGAAAATAGTAACATCAATAATAACGGAAAAGACTTTCTTCAAAAAGATGCGGTCGAACCAAAAGATGGATATACCGATGCCTGCAACCATAACAATATCTCCGACCCTCAGGTTAGAGATTGCAGTAGTAACACAAACACGGCCCACGAAAACCTCAAAAACGAGTTGACTTCAAATACGACTGCTTTAGAGAAAACAGATTTGATTATTCCAGCAGATGTTGATACGGGGGAACCTAATGTCATTTCTGATAATAATGAAGGAAATTTTGGCCACGCTCGTTCAAACAATCTTGTCGTAACCCACAACGGTAGCAACCAGTCGCTTGACAAGGAAGATGTTTCCATTGAACACAGTCTTCCTAATGAGAGTGCAGTTCCTGTCGAGGAAAATGCCAGGGTTGATTCTTCAGTGGGCTGTGAAAGCCTGACGGCTGAAGAAGGTCAGCAAACTGAGGCCTTTCCCGAGGATCTTCTTGTCGTTTTATCTATTGCTGAAGAAGACATGCGAGCGCATCGTTTGAGCTCAGCACCAATTGCTAGAGAGAGAACGAATGGTACGAATCACATTGTGGCATTCATCGAAGATGAATTCTTAGACACCTCATCGTCGAGCAGCGAGTCTGATGATTCAGATTCAAACAGGTGTGAAACATTAGCAAAATTAGTAATTTAGCTTGTAGGTACACCACGTACAGTATTTAATACTGCAAAGCTTTCAGTCCGTTAACCCGGGCCTTCATCAGTGCAATTACCTAAATACACATTGTTTGGTAAGTGAAACCGTTTAATTAATGGCACGACTAACGTGATATTTAAGTGACGTGTAGATGTGTGTTCAGGTAATTGCACTGATGAAGGCCAGGGTTAACGGACCGAAAGCTTTGCAGTATTTGATACTTACGTGGTGTACCTACAAGCTAAGTTACTTTTTGATGTAACCATGCAAACATACAAGAATATTATTAGCAAAATACTTTCAAATTATACAGCAGTTGGGTCACGAGGGGGAGAGGGTGGTGTAATCACCTCAGGGTCGAGGCTCTTTGCTGTGTTCAGGGTGCAAATAAAACGAGAATACCATTAAGTTGCGAGCTATAATGGCTTACTGGAAGAGGTAGATATATCATATAAGTTTCTGGAATGCCGTTTGCGACAATCTAGAGATTTCCAATTTGAAATTGTTTCTCTCAGGTGCCGCCTGCGGGAAAGGCCACAAACGATGCAGGGGCGGATCTAGACTATATCAACTGTATCAAATAATACAGTCAGATTTTGCCGAAAATAATATCTTTTGACTGTAAGAATTTCTACATTATTTATAAATGCTTTTATTTCATCATTTTACATCATTTGGAAATCGTTTTTTCGCTTCATAAGCTGACAAGCGGTTACGGAACAATTTTTGGCATTTCGCATTCGCCAGCCTACGGTTCACTTCTACCTGCTAACAAGCCCGCTTTTTGGGAGTTTGCTTCTTCGTTCAACTCAATAACATAACTCAGAAAGACATCGTCGTAGCAGTTGAGATAAAAATAGAACATTTTTGATACAGTCAGCGGGGGGGTATAAGCTATATTTAGACCGTTCGACTGTATCAAACCAATCAGAATCGCGATCACTGATACAGTTTTATACAGTCAGATGCTGAGTCAGCTACATTGCTCTATTTGAACGATGTCCAACATTCCACGCAAAAGGCGCAAGTCTCATTACAAGCAAACTAAGTCTATACGCAGTTTATCTGGCTATCATAGCATCACGCGCTCTGTTAGACAAGTTGAACTGTGCGCTCAATAAGCGAAATTCTTTGGCTGAGAAGGTCGAAGAGCTAACGAATATCAAAATTCATGCGAGAATGATTTTTCTGCTGCTCAAAGACGAGAATAAATCGCGAGATATACACATGTCAATTTGCGGAGCTACAGTTACCCAAAAGCCAGCGATTGCGCTCTCATAACCATTATCCCGTCAGGTAACTACAAAGCTTTGTGAATATATTAATATCTTATTCGTTGTGATGATTTTGTGAAGTTAATTTGCATTATGAGTGAAAAATCTGCATGGTTAAATTAATATTCATGTTTGATATGTATACAATAATAGCATTGCGTTAGGATCAATGCACGTGTTTATATTAAAGCCGCTATTATTAATATTTTCTTAAGGCTGGTATGCTAATAGAAATAGTGCTAAAGTCGTTACTGTCGTTAGAAATTTGCCTGAATCATTTCCTAAGCTTTGTCCATCTAGTTTTAATAGCTATGAGTTTATGAAACGGAGTTTGCTCTAAAATTTTGACTGTGAAATATGAAATGCTCACAATGGGAAATATGATACCACTATGCCCCATGAATAACCTTAACATTATATAAGTCTAGTCAATGACTGCTGGGAGTAGAACTACCTTTAATTTACTGCAACTTCCAAATTTATCAATTTGATAAGAATATATAATCATAATCATAATAAATTTTTTAAGTACGCATTTTAAAGCCGGGAAAAATCTTCTTTGCTAAGAAAAGCCGAAAATTTTGGTAAAAAATATATCAGGAAAAGTACGCTCAAATCGCGGGAAATGGCATCTCCGGGCTTCCAGTTTCAAAAATTTTCCGGGGGGGGATGCCCCCGGACCCCCCTAGTTATGCGAGACCTAGTCGGTGATACAGTCAGATTTTCGGCCAGATCCGCCCCTGCGATGATCCAACGAACAGACCCAGGCCGAAATATTGTCATATATGACCTGCTTAACCACTCGACGGCCACTTAACCACTTCGACCACTCATTTACCCATAACTATCGATATTTTCATTTGCACAGTGATGAAGATAGAGCAGAAGACAGTAGAGTCAAGAGATCAAAAATGCAAGAAGGAGAAACAAGTTATAATACGGGCCCACCTAAAACTAAGGATGAAATCATGCTTTCGGTAAGTTCAATTTGCCTTATCAACGGATGTCGCGGTAGTCACCAGTAATGGATAATTTCTGACAGGGGAATTTGAGGGAGAAAGCTCTTACGATATCTTGTTAAAAATTAGACTCGTATAAGATGAGGCTTGTTTAACTTCTATACGTCTTTGTCACTCACTAAAAGTATCTTTTTCTATCCTTTCAGGATCTCCCCAACGTTGATCCACTTAATCTTTTCGTAGATGAATCTGTTGTAATAGAGCCATTGGGAAAAATTGAAAGTATAATTTATGGGGAAGCATTGGGTAAGGTTTATGGCTTTATGCAGCCAACTATACACGCAGTGAACTATCTATACATTCTTAGCTGAATATAGTTTGCTAGTTCAACGCTCTACCAACTGAACACTTTTTTTCGTAATAACTTTAATTCTATGCAATTAACTTATTGAACGACTTGGCCCAGTTGGTAGAGCTTTTGGTTGGAGCAAACGAATATTTTGCTCGTCTGGTTTTGCCTTATTCATACTGTTACCACAAAAATGTACTTTTTATTACAAAAACCGAACCGAACTACTAAAACTATGCGATAAGATTCCAGGGATTTGCATGCACTGTGCATTAGGAAACTCAGATATGATAGAGTTCCTTTCAACAACCACTGTGATTGCAAGAAATTCAACTGCAAATATAAAATTATCCTCTTTAATTACTTCCGAAATTTGCACTTTCATTACCAGAAATCACACGCCGCGATTACCAAAATGGCATTATCATTAAAAAATCTTTCTTAATTTGTGCGTTCCACGTCGTATACCAGCTTTAGAAAGTCATTTATTAATGTGTAACTGCGAATTTGTAACGATCAATCCTTATCACTGTATGTTAAATGAATCGTATCCCACACTAAGTTCTCGCAAGTGCTTGAAACCCTTGAAGTACTTAAATGTCATATTCAAAGCTACTGTACTTGAAGTCCTTGAAAAATGCAAAATAAAATCAAGTGGCGTAAAATACTTCAATATCGCACGAAAACATACGAATGCAGTTAGTACGGTTGCAGTTAGGATGACGTGCAATTTTATTCAGTATTACCACGAGATTGAAGTGGAGTTTGACCGGGGGTCTTACAAATCGACAGAGCAAACTATTTGTCCGAGGTTCTATAAAGCAAAAAAGTCATGGCATTAATTAGAAATGCATTTTTTCGCTCAGTAACCTATACGAAACCGTTTAGGTTCATCTAAATTTGGACGACGATTAACGAACACCGGGCGTCAGTTCCATCCCTGCATGTGACAATCTTTGCATGTCATTTTTTGCCCTACAAGATGGAGTAAGATTTCAAAATAATCCTGTGATATTGTTACTCTGAGTTACCCACCGTGCAACCCACCATGCAGTACCGAAACTAGAACGGTAATTGGGCGAGGGGGGTGTTTATTCGTATATTCAGTTTCATCCGACGGTTCTCTATTGTATGATATTCCACTTACAAAAGAAATCCGTCGGGTAGAACCGAATACATAGATACCCCCCCCCCCCAATTATCGTTCTAGTTACGGCCCTGCCACCATGCAACTAGTTTAACCACGGTGGAAATCGAATGGTTTGCTAATACAATGCTCTTCCGACTGGCCTCGGTCAAAATGTCTTGACCTAGTAGCTCAGTTGGAAGCGCATTAGACTAACAAACCAAAGGTCTATTCCGGTATCCCCTACGTAGTCAAGCTACACAAAGTAAAGCAAGCTTGCCAGGTTGTGGCTCGAGTAGCATCAATTCATATACCCGAGTCATATACATCATCACTATAAAAATAATGTGTTAACACGGTTGCCACCACGTTTAAAATTATTTATTCTTTCATTTAGTCATAATCAAATCATTCGAACTCGTTCCCGCAGTTGACGCTGACAGTATCTTGCTGTTGGAAAATCGATCTGGCTTTGGCAAAGTATGATTTCTTACAGTGTAATCTGGTTATCCTTTTGCCAATTGCATTGGCGTACGAGCCTTAGAGTATTGCTTGGAAGGTGTGGGCGGCTGAAGATTCTAGAGAGGGGAGGGGTGGGGGAGTGGCAGAAACGAGATTTTTCGTTTCCTCTTGGGCTTTGCCGTATTGGTAACTTAAAGATCCCTGTTATCTGAGGTTTCACCAACAGATAATGCATGCTTTGCCAAAGTTATGGCTAATTGCATGCAAGATGGTAGTTTAATGACGACTGTATTTTGCTGCCTTGTTCGGTCAATAATGTTTAAAATGTATTGGTAGAGGGCGAGGTTCTCAGTCCGACTTAAGGCCCACAGTCGTGTTTTTATTGTGTTTAGGTTTTTGAGATATTCGGGCAAGTGAAATCTCCGCATTATTGTGTGAGATTTAACAACGATGAAGAGATAAAATCAACAAAAGTTGAAGTTGGGCAAACGGTGTACTACGCTCCGCAGGCGAAAGATGTCACTCATTTTGTATTCGTCTCCAAACTGAAAAAGTAAGATAAACAAAGCAGTGGCGTAGCCAGCATCGATAATTGGGGGGGCCCATATTCATATATTCATGTTAACAGACTGTAAAGACAATTGATTTGAAAAGAAATTAAACCCGCGTATCACGAATATATATGAATATTGCCCCCCCCCCCAATTATCGTTCTGGCTACGCCACTGAAACAAAGTAGCGCGTCTCCTAATATACCAATCTGAGGATTTTTTGCAACAAAAATTATTAAGTCTTCTAAGTTAAGAACTGCTCTATTTTAGAGGGGAAATTTTTAAATTTTCAATATTGCATAAAACTGTCTAAAGTAGACAAAAACACTTCACGTTTCGACGTAAGGGCCTTCATTCGGATAGCTATTCAGATACTAACTTCCTCACGAAGGCTCTTAGATCAAAACGTCTAGAGTTTTTTTGTCGATTTTAGGCAGTTGTTCTACAACATTTTATGCGAAATTGTTTGAAAATGCTGCCACGCTGCTATATTGGAACTCTCTGGTTATATTGGAACGTATCTTACACTATACCATTTGTTTAGTGTGAAGGGATCTGATGCCTCCTGGAAACATGATCAGGAACCACCTGAAACGGTGAGAAAATATCAAGTCTATTCTATTAAATCGTGTGTGATTTTTAATAGACAGAGGGTTTGGAAAAGACATAAGTCACGTGGGTACCACGTGATACATTATATGGTACTTCTAGTGATTGCAACTGAACGATAAGTAGTGGTTTAAGTTGAACATATCAGTGAATCAACATCACCACCATTGTTCCCGTTCACGTACCATTATTCCCATTTGAATAATCAGTGGCGTAGCCAGCCTGACGATTTAGTCATGCTATTCAAATTTTATGTTATTATCATTATTCATTTCTTTAGAAATTCATTGTTTTCACAGTCAATGAACACCAAAATATTAGCATAACATGACTAAATTGTCGGGCTGGCTACGCCACTGTAAATAATAATGATTAGGCTGCCATATGGAAAATCTGTTTTGATCCATTAGTACAGTGGCGATTGTTTTAGAATCGGGTTAGCCATATTCAGCGCTGTGCGCTCTGAATGAACACGATTGACTGGATTCTTGCTCTGAATGAGCACGATTGACTAGATTCTTGCTCTGAATGAAGACGATTGACTGGATTCTTGCTTTGAATGAACACGATTGACTAGATTCTTGCTCTGAATGAACACGATTGACTGGATTCTTGTCTGAATGAACACGATTGACTGGATTCCTGCTCCGAATGAACATGATTGACAAATTTTTGCAATTCAGAGAGCCTCCCCTAGAATGAGCCTTCTTTTTTTGTTTCAGTTATTGGAGTTCTCAGACGACGAAGCTGAGGCGAAAGCAAAAGCAGGGAGGAAAAAAGCGAATCAGCTGAAGAAAAGGTATAAAATCAATTACGTCATGGGTAAAAAAATACTAAATTATTTATGTTGGGAAAAACGTTTCCTTGCCGCATTGCATTGTGGTACCCGTATGTAGAATTTTACTCATGGATTACCTTACTTTAACAAGTCAAACAGCAGTGGTTTGATGTGTAAACGTTTTATTTGAATTATTCAACTTCTTCCTTTTAGAAATGAAGAGCACCTTCAAGAGAAAGGTAAGCCACGTACAACCCCCCCAAACACCCACCAAGAGGAATTTTATATTGCCTATAGACCCCGATCAGTTTATCTCTAACGATAACCTAGTAGCATTGTTAGAGCGCCTTTTTCTAATAAGCTTCCTCCCTTATAAGCTCCACCTATTTCACCTAAACGATTTACGTAGATTTTCGACACCCACCTCACAAGAGGGTTCATAGGGTAATCATGATTGGTTAACTAACCAAATGCTCTTTTGTTCTTCGGTCAGTTACAACCAGGTTATCTAAATTGGCGGGATAGGACTGGGACTAGTTTTCAAAAGAATATATTTCTCAGTTGAAGCAACTTAATATCTCTTCAAATATACTTCGGTTTCAAATTTATTTCATAAACTGTAATTCTCATAACTAAACGTAATCACAAAATTTCGGCTAGTTTTATGAAGAATAACATTAATATGATTGATTAAATACTGCTGAATGGATTTTGACCCAATGATAGCGATATTATCTTTATCGAACGACGTTTCGATTCTAAAATAAAGATAATATCGCTATCATTTGTGTCAAAATTGTAGTCAAAGAGATTTTTGATGAATGGATTTTATTTCGACAACCCTTCTGAACGCTGATTGGCTAAAGTATGAGCGCATGGTAGCCTGGAAGGGAAATGCATACCAAGCGCATGTCAGTTTGTTAACAAAAAAATTGAATACAGCCTGATATGAACTTTTATATTTCTCGTATTTGTTTTCCTGCAACGAAATCGACAATATTTGTCCAACAAATTTTGTTTGTTACTAAAAGGTGGGTATTTTAACAGTCTTGCCTATCCTGCTTATTGATAAGTTCAAAATTTCAGGTTACAGAGACCTATCTATGTACATGTATTAGGCAACTCATCTTTAACTATAAATATTCATATTTTTAATTCATTAAATAATTTATACTTTTCTCGATTTTGCATTTTCCAGACACGACGGAAGAAACCATAACCATCACTAAAAAGCAAAAACCGTCAAGAAAATCTTGCAAACACGCACAAACAAAATCGCAACATCGATCTCAGGTTACCCTCCGACCCTCTCAGCAGCCGTCCCAAGTTGTTCCCCGTCCCTATCAACACCCACGAGCCCTCAGAATACCACCAGCATCATTAAGATACCGAACACCCCCAGGACCCAATGTGACAAGGGGCCCATGTCAACCACTCCCCCCGCCTCACGTGGGACCACATTTTGATCAACAGTATTATCCGCAAGCTGCACACAGATTTGCCTGTGGACCGCGATACGGCCCTCCGCACGATAATTTTATGATACCTCAAGGACCGCCCGAATACATTCAGGGGCATTACAGTCAAAGGGTGCCGGGTACCGAATTTATTGGACCACCATTCCAAAATATGGTTCCACCGCCAGGGGTGCGTAGCACCTCACACAATGTGGGGCTGGGGGCTTCTCCTGTTGAGCGACCTGATCATCCAAATACGATGGCACAAGAACAAGCGACCGCATCATATTTCAATCAACCACCATCACAAAATGTAATGCAAAGACCACCGTGTATAACAGCGACGCAGCCGTGGATGAGTGGTGGTAATGTTTTACCAAATACGCCACCTATGAGCCGTTGGCCTGTCGATCAACCCCACACAAGGGTAATACAATCACCCCCACCTCTAATGCAACAACACCCATCACAGCCACCAAACATGAAATACGAACACGCGCGAAATATAAGGGAAGACCTCCCGCATCATGGAACTCGACCATCGATGACTCAAGGTAATGCTTCACCCTGTACGCCGCCTGTGAACCTCCATCGTTTGCCCACCACGCAAGGGTCTGCAATGGAGCATTCGTCACAGCCAGACCCGCCAGGTGTAAAATCACCAAAGAACCCCATTCAAACAGGTCAAAACTTTGGGGAAGTTCCTGAACCGCCTAAAATAGTACAGGATTATCTCGATTCGTAGACAGTACAGTTGAAGGGCCGTGAAAGAGAGGGAATTTGTATTGAACAGATGGACACTCCTCGTCAATAAACTGTCCCTGACTCCCTGTTCTTGTTTATATTACTTTTATTGGGTTCTTTCAGTTTTGACAAAATAAGCCACCATTTCGGGTGCATGACATGAGCCTTTTCTTTAACTGATTAGCTTGATTACTGTAAATCCGTAGTCGTGCAATTTCAGTTGTTTGGTTTGATATCAACCAGCGGTATTTTTAATTTGCCACCCAAAAATACCGACAGGGGACAAGAAGTTCGAACTATGACGCCACTAAAAATTGCTTGATCACGAGATCTGGATTTTGTTTCAAATGATGAAATCAACAAAGAAACATTTCAGAGTCTTAAATTTGTTGCATGGTGACGGTATACTTAAGATTTCCCTCACAACCGCAGGTTATTCATTTGTAACAGTACGGTGAACCAACTGCATACCAGAAAATGCCGCAATGGAGTTTTGCTTGTGCCGTTAAAACGATTCTTCCAAGTAGCATCCCTTTCCAACAATTGGCTTGCCACATATTCCTTGCCAACGGATCTTCCTGGATACCTTTTCTCTTTTTCTTCTTTTCCATGCAAAAATAATCTTATTAAACATATCTTTGAATTTGATCCCAACCTTTGAATTTCCTTGAAGAACTGTTTTGTTGTTGGCTTTTCTTGAATCGCCATACTTTTCTTCTTATTAAACATCTTATTAAACATATATTCAACGGAATTTTTCCCAACCTTGGAACTTCTTGAAAGAATTGCTTTGTTCGCAAAGCACGAGAGGTTTGGTTCCTGAGAAATCTTAAATACTGAGTTTGTAATTGCATGTATTCAAGTGATATAAGACTGATGAAAGAGCATAAGTAAATGGTCACACTATGCTTGATTCGGCAGTCACGACATATTTTTACGTTTCACAGAAAATTTGTCTGGGCATATGAAATAAAAACCTTCACAGCTAATGCAATGCCTGCAAAATTTGATCTGGTCCCGTATCGAGGGGTTAAATTCATGTAACTGCAAATATCGTGTGATTTTCGTGTAATTTTCTGTGTTTATTTTTGTCCTGAAATAGTCGACTGTATTGTAGTGATTCTGCAGCTTTAGATACACGTATATATTTGAAGAAGTGCATGGTAGTAAAAAGTTGATGTGGCCATTAATTGCTTCTTAAATAAATCTGAAGCTACTTAAAATTGCCAGGAAACGCGAAACTCTTTCGTGCTTTTATATTAAAGTGCATGCTTTTTAAATTCCTACATTGCTTTTCTTTTATCCCCCTTCTGTTATTTAGTTGCGAGGCCGGACTTAAGTAATTGTTATTAATATGGCTGCTTACCTAAGAGCGGTATATCCGCTCATATACGGTGAGTTAATGGCCTTTTTTGTTTTAGATGCCAAAGCGGGTAGAGGTTTTCTCCTTTTTGCGAATGAGTATGTTTTTCTTTGATCTGCCCAGGAGTTGGTCAATTTAACGTGTAAACATTCCGCGAAAGATTGACTGAAATTAAGGCAATAGCTGATCTAGTTAAATTTTTTATACAATATAGTAGCTATATTATGAAATAATAATACCACTCGCTCTCGTCGTATATAGCTGATAGCCAACTCGTTGGTACTTATGCACCTCGTCAGCTATCAGCTCATATACGACTCGAGTGGTATAATTCTTACTTAATTCCCACGAACGAGAAATTTTCACTAAAATTTTTCAAGTGCCAATGTTTTCTTTTCTTTAGTGCTCTATGTTGTCCGCGTCTTCTTTGTTTTAAAAATCCAGAATTAAGAAGGCTCTTTAATTTTTTCACATTTCAACTAAAAACAGGAGCTGCGAAAATAATTGCAAATTATTGGATATCTGGGACGGGGGGGGGGGTGTAAATCAGGTATTAAAATTAGGCTTTTTCACAAGGACACGTCTCCAATTGAGATTTAGAGGCAATATCGCTTGATACTTGAAGATGTGGAATCCGGATCAGAACAATGTCGTTACGTCTGGTTTTTACCAGCTGCGTAAGAACTCCCAATAGTCGCAAATACAGGCAAAACCTAACAATATAAGGTCTCGACGGCTTTATAGAGAATAGAATTTTCATTTTCACTGTATACTGCTTAAATTGAGGCATTTCGAAGTTCAATAGACTGACTAATACTGACAACTGACTACTTTTTTATCCATGCAAGAAAATTCATTCGGATTAAGAGTACTAAGAAAGATTAGTAAAACTATTTGGTCTCGGAATATTGTTAAATGAGGAAGGTGTAGCGTTGTACTTACGTGAGAAATGAGCTAACCCGTACCAATCGATCTCTGATTAGGTGATGCTAAATGATCAAATAACTAGGAGCTACTTAGTAATTTTACTTAATAATTGTACTTTATTGAATTTAACCATTAATTTATAATATTAGATTGTAGTACATGTATAACAATGCCTGATTCCAATGAGATAATAATAAGAATCAATCAGAAAGCGTCCTCCGATCGGTACAGGATTCAGTACTGACGGAGACAGGCAAGTCATTTTTACGATGGCCTTAACATTATAAAATGGCCTCAACAGAGCCCCTCCTCCTGGAACTTTAGCCCAACCCTTAAGTGATTAACGAGTGGAAAAATTCCTTTTAAATTGAACTATTTAAAACATCCGCAAGAATATGTATAAATAAAGCCTGTTTCCACTAAGGAAGACAGAAATTCTTCACCTCCGTCAGGAATTTTCAGCCTTGCAGACTGTGCATCGAATTTGAAGATTATGTTTCGTTGTTCGATTGTGTTCTCTGCGCTTCTTTTTTTCTCCACTGCACAAAATACCGATAAATTCATCAAACTGGCTCTATCTGTGTCGAAAGCTGCCTATCTGCCATTCTCAACTGAGCGGTTCATCAGCAACGGTTATATCCAAGAGAGAACGACACGCCATGGTTACCGAAGATCCTGCAGCATCGGAGATTGGGTGGCAAAAGGCTACGAAAGACGAGATACCGAGGTTTTGGTGTTTAGAAATCACAAACAAAAATTAGCTGTTTTTGGATTTCGTGGAACGAATACCTTAAATGATTGGTTAAAAAATTTCAACGTAGTCCTAGTCGAAGTGAAAATTAGGGGAAAACGGTTCAGAATTCATCAAGGATTCAGAAATCGTTACTCCGACATAAAGAAATGGTTTGAAGCCGAATATCGTTCAATCCCACGAAGTTACAAAATCATTGTAACCGGTCATAGTCTTGGTGGAGCGATGGCAACCGTGGCCTCTACATTTGTAAGTGGTCATTATCATCGGCGACCAGATGCCGTCATATCATTTGGCTCTCCAAGAGTTGGGAACGACGATTTTCAGAAATATTACAGCCGTACCGTTGGATGCAAGAATACATTGAGGATCGCAGCAAAATTTGATATATTTCCTGATCTTCCCGGAAAGAGTTTTGGCTACACAGATACATGCAAGCCCCAAAAAGTCAATAGCGGCGTCTTCCCGTTCAACCCTTTCATGAATCACGACTTGTACATTGGATATGAAGGAGGGTTGAAAAGAAAATTCGGAAATGATATGAAATCTATTAATTCTGGTTGCGATCGCATTCATCGCGGACGCTAAAATGATTGTACGAACAAATAGTAGTTTTATAGCCTTGTTGTACGTATTTCAAAGTAAAGTGTTGTGTTAAACGCTCTGCCTTAATAAGATTAAATACGCTTCAATACATAGTAATTTTGCATCAATAAAAACTCGTCACCGTTTTCATTCGTATTCGTATTATGCAATTCAGAAGTCCAATCCACATGCACGTACTCCAAATATACTGCAGACGCATATATCTGTTACTGCTGTGACTTGGATGGCTGAGCTAGGCCCGATCGTTTTACTTGAATGCTTCATTATTACCTAAGAAAACATCCTACTTTGCCCTTGCTAAGATAGCTGCAAATATTTAGCAGGGTTTCCACAATTTAAGGAAAGTGTCTTCAAAATGAGAGAGGGAGGGATCAGTGTTGATAAGATATAATATGCAGTCTTCAAAAGTGATAAGATATACTATGCAGTCTTCAAAAGTTCTTTGTTTTCCTCTTATGTCATTGCTATCCCCCTATGAAGACAGTGATATGCAAATAAGTTGCGGGAGCCCTGATATTAAGGTTTTGTAGGTTCAGGAATTTTATCTTCATCTCTCAAGCCTGGGTAGATATTTTTAACATATGTCGAATTTACCAATTTTGATAAACTTCCTTACAAGTTGTGGCTAAAAATAAAAGGCGTCTTTCTTCAAGCATTTCATGCACATACAAAGGCATACACTTAGTCTAGTCTCCAGGCAACCTTGTTTCCTGCGTCTTTTCATTAACTCTAGGCTTCTTTATTCAAAACTTTATTATTCAAAATGGCCGGTCTTAGTTTGAGGTTTTCGTTTAACGATTACTAAATTTGCAAATGCTAAATTATTTCAACTGACTATCGAGTGATTTATTACAGCTGAATGTTCAGTTGAAACCAATGAGGAAACCGGTTTTCTTTTTGGTTCAAATTAGTAACAACCAGCTGATCTGGGTACAAAACTCAGCCAATCACAATTAAACTTTTCATTTCTTTCATTTTTTTATAACTTCATTATGATACTCCAAATTATGAATGATCCTCCTGTTGTTTTATGTCTCAAGCAGTTCGTTTATTGACAATTGTAATATAGTATTTAAATTTTGCTCCATGCATTTATGCTCTTATTAGGAAAAACGGGGCAAATAGACCTTTTGGCTTTGCATAATAAACGAACTTTTGATTTAGGCGGGAAAGGGAATTTCTGAAAAGTGCATACTATTAAAAATTGGTAAAATTGCAAAGTTTAGGTGCAAATATTGTGAAGTATGGATTTGTATTTTGTATAATTCTGTATTACGGGCGGACATGTGTAACAAAATTAGTTTTACACTTTAGCCCGTAATAGAAAAGTATACAAAATTTGCCCACTTTTCTTGGCTATATTTTCCGAACTACTCGACCTTTCTCAACTAAACTTAAACTTAATTGGCACTGATTATACTAATTTTAGTATGCTCTTCTTTTTAGCTATCTAGCTGATGTAATTTATTTCCTGCTTGTTGCCTAGATCATAATCGAGTCTAATTTGCAAGTGGCCATCAGTAATAACTAATAAGTCTGTTTTGTCGTGGCGCCCTTATGACGTCATGATCTCAGATCAGCTGGATTAGTGTGACACTCAAGCTTCGCACTTAGCTCGCACTTTAGTCATCAATCGCTGATAAACATGTTCCGTGATTTCACGTCATTTACGTAAAAAAAACCATTTACGGCTGACGGTGCGAAAATGGACGAATGTTTTTTTTTTTGCTTCTCAACTGAGTCT